CGGCGAGCAGGGCGGCGCGGACCGCGGGGAAGGCAGCGCCGTCCGCCGCCGCCGCCGAGTGGCGAAACCTCCTCTTCCTGCGGGCGGCGGCGCTGCCTCGGCCTCGCTCGCGCTCTCACTTCCTGCTGGAAATTCCCGCTGACGTCGGCCGGGCCGGGCCGGGGGCGGGGGAAGCCCGGGGAGGGGGACCCGCGGGCAGGGGGCCGGAGTGGGGTGGGGACGGGGCGGGGACCCCCGGGAGGGGCGTGTGCGGGGCGGGGACCCCACCTCTTCTGGCGGCCTCGTGGTTGAATGGGGTCAGCGGTCCCGAATGGGCGCGAGGCTCCGAGTGGCCCCTATGCAGTCCGCGCCACCCTTGTGTAGCCGGCCCACCGCTCCAGTTCCCCCAAATTTGTGGGGATTCACCCGCAATTTCGAGGCCACCGCGCAGCCATCCAGGAAGAGTGACAGATGAGCGCCCGGGCGTCTGCTGAGGTCCTCAGCCCTGGGCTCCACTTCGGATACTGGGCACAGCTGGCCAGGCGATCCTGGTGCACCTTGGATTCCGGGAGGAGCACTCTGGCAGGCCCTGACATGTTCTGGGACAGCACCAGGGACAGGGCTCCAGCGGAAACCCTCGGCCTCTGCCCTCTCTAGGCCCTGGAAGAGGACCCTGGCTGCTTTAGGCCCAGCTCTGGCCTCCCGGGGCTGAAATCCATCTTGCCGAGCTCTGACCTCAAGTGTAATTTAACTGGAAACGTCAGGAATGGTTAGAAGCCCCAGCGGTGTTCTGGAGCTTGGAGCTCGTGTCCTGCCCAGCTCTGTCCTGGGGCTGCAGGACCTGGGGGTGGAGTTGTGGAAGAAACTGGATCCTTTTCACAAGGTGATCACGGGCCCTTGGGGTGGCCCAACAATCTGCTGTCATTTAGCTCCCTTGAAACAGCTAGGATTCAGAGATTCCTTCGGATCAAAAACAGACATTTTAGAAGTTGTGTTATTTACGGGACATGATTGGAAATCCGCACTATGACACCTTAGGAGGCTGATGTCTAATTTAGCTAAATGCTGGGCTCTCCATCCTGCCCATGGACAGAGAGCACAGCTCCAGGAGCAGAGCCGGTGTCACTCATTTTGGGAACACAAATCGAATAGTTAATTGGTGCAGAGGGGTCAGTTAACTTTCAAATTCAAAATGTCCCCGTAGAGTGGACTTGAAGCTGAGGGTGGGATGCTAAGTGTTAATTTCCTCCGAGGGAGGTAACAGATTGCACCTGCTGGAGGGCTGAATGCCACCTGGCCTTCTTCTGTCGCAGTTCTTGGCCTACAAGTTTGAAATCATGGTGCCGTGGTGGCCGTGCTCCCTCATGGCTCTATGCCTGGCTCTGATGGCTCTGGCAGCCCTGCTGAGGCTGTGTCATCGCATCCATGCCTCCGTTATCACTGGCCCTCTCCCCTGGTCTTGGTACGTAGACCTCCCTCTCCTTTCTCTGATTAAGAAGCTCATCATTGGATTCAGAGCCCACTCTAATGTGACCTTCTCTTACCTTGATTGCACCAGCAAAAGAACCTGTTTTCAAATAAGATCATGTTCATAGTTACCTGCCATGAAGTTTGAATATATTTGGGGGATGCAGTTCATAGCTCTGCAGCAGATAAGACCAAGCCCACTTTGCTCTTTTTGGCTCCCCAATTAATTTCCCTATGCCTCTGCTTTATTGTCCAGTATTTTCTCTGAACTGTAGGCAAAACTACTTTCAGAATGCTCTCACAAACTCACCTCTCTAAGGTATCAAAAGACACTGCCATTGTTTTGTTACAGAAGTGAAAGAAAAGCTTACAGTGGAACTTCAGGCACTGAAAGTGTGAAAAGGCAGGTTGTGTTTCTCAGCAAATCCTGCCCTGCACAGATTACCTTTCTTAAGAAGCTGAGTTGGGAATGCTATGTAGAGAATCCTGTGGTCCTCTAGAGCATGAGCACTGACCGTGAGGAGTTATGCAGTGTGTGTTCTAAGACCTGCACTGAGAACAGAGCAGGAGTGCATCTTGTCTCCCTAAAGGGTCTAACCTCCCTAGGACTAGGAAACCAACCTCAGTGTCCTTAGGAATATATCCTCTGCACTACAGGAGCAGGGTGAAATAGAAGGAGCTCACCACACTCAAGATCAGACTCGAGCTGGAACCCTGGTTCTGTCTTGAATTATCTGTGTAACATTTACAAAGTCATAATTGGTCTGAACAGCAACCATTATAGCTTACAGATGATGACAGCTTTATACGATGTTTTATATTGTGCATATCATATATATGTCATGATGCCCATGCCATGTTAGGTATATATACAATGACAACATATGTGTTATATTATAACTTCCCTGACTCACGATTCTATAGACTAAAAGAAAATTTTGAAATGCAAAAGGAGATTTAAAAATGCAAAAGACCTATACAAATATAAACAATTATGAGAACTTTTAAGTTAAAACCAGTTGAAATTCATTTCCTCATCATCTTAGGATGTAAGTGCTGGCTCTGTGGCCACCAGTACATCTGATCTTTCCAACACACCTTTGCTGCTGACCCTTTGTACTGAGGATGGCTTCTGCCTCTGCTATGGTCCTCACCGCATCCTGCCTTGTGATTGCACAAGTAACAGGTAGCATTGTGAGGCCCTCACCACCTCTGTCAATGACCACAAAGGCAGGAGATGTGGCCTCCACCCCCCAAAGCTTGGAGATGAGCCCTTATCTGGGAGCCAGGGTGCAGTGATTTATATAACAGATTCTATCCCTAAAAGTGAACCTAAGAGAGAGGAAGAGAAAGTTTCTTCCTCACCTGGAGAATCCATTGTTACCCTTGGTCATGAAGACCCCAAATACCTACACATTTAAAGAGAGACTGTCACTCACCTTGTGACTCTCGGAAGCTCTCCTGTCACTGAGCATTCACACATTGCTGTTGCTGTCTTTGGTGTTCACAAAGCACAGGGAGTGTTAGTGACTGCGGGGCAGCGTGTGGCCAGTGCTTCATGGGTAACACTGCAGAGGGAGGGGATGGTGGCCAGCACTGCCCGCGCCTGGTGTCCCTTCTAGGAAATGGCCGTTGTGTCCCGTCCTGAGACGCTGTGTGGCTGCACAGTCCACTTCTCTGTGATGTCACCTTTACTGGACAGTGGTGTCCTGGGTCATGAGGATCTGATACAGAGCGCATCAAGGCACCAGCTCCTCGGGAAGCCCTTGGTCCTGCTGGTGGTGACCAGCAGCACTGTATTTCTGGGAGAGAAGCCTAGTGAAGAGAACCACATGGCGTGGTGCTGGATGGTGGTGAGAGATGCTGGCAGAAGGGACCCGAGAAGGGAAACAAAAAGGGCGTGACGTTCGGCTCCTAGCACAGGTTTATGGTGCTCAAAGCAAATTCCATAAAAATAAACACATGTTCAGGAGGGTTCTAATTATTCTTTCCTTTAAAGTTAGGGGCCTGGAGATGTGGCTTAATGGTAACATGTGCTTAGCATGCATGAAAACATACCAGAAACATTGTTACACACACACATACACACAGACGCACACACACACAGCAGAGAGGAAGGTTCTGTGGGTCTACATGAAGACTCAGAGCTTAAGAACCCACTTGGCTACTGCCCTACCTAGGTTTCACACCTACCGCCCCACCTCCATGGAATCCTGGCCCCAGAGGAGTGGGGTGATGGGACTCACCACACACAGCCGACAGAGTGGCTTCCACCACACTAAGACAGCTGCTGGTCACCTGTTTCATGGTGATGGGGTCCTCTGTTCTGTCCTGTGATTTAATTATTAATTTCCCCTAAGTCAGTATCTATCTTTCGTCTTATGAGTAGCTAGCACCCATTAGCTGCGCAGGTGAAACAGCTTCATGGAGCAGGCACTGAACTCAGGCCCATCAGGAGCCTGGACCTCAGTGCAGTGCAGAGCTGTGCAGTTAAACATTCCTTGCCTGCATGCAACACAGCTAAAATAAGGCATGCTTTCCCCACAGAGCTACTGGATCATTTTGTCCTCTAAGGTCATATTTTCTGTAACAATGTCATATGTAAATAATTCTGGATTCAGAAGACAGAAGCACCAAAGTGAGGTGAAATAAGATTTGGTTTGGTGTACATTACCTTACATTGTGATGGACTCTGGAGTTCCAGAGATGAAATAACTGCAGTCAAGTTGTGGTTGTTGCTTATCATTTAAAATTTATGAAATCCCCAAAATATGATGAAGTCAAAGTTTGCTATTTGTTCTATCCATTGGTTCCAAAACAAAATATTTTTTCATGTTTTGGAAAATAATTATTATTAAGAATTATCAATCAATCTTTATTATTAAGAATTATTATTAAGAATTATCAATCAATCTTTACGTTATAAAGCCTTATTTTTTAGATGTATGCAGTTACTAAAATATCTTACAAATAATCTTTGCAATAATTTCAGATGTATAGTGCCTTAAAAATATGATAAGTGAAATACTATTTGGCACCTAACTCTTTTCTAATATTAGTGCTTGGTTAATCTTAGAACTTCTTAACTCTGGATTAGGTTGATTTAATGACCACATTTATGGACTTTTGGGAGCAATAGTTTTGGAGTGAATCTATAACAGCATTTTAGTAGTGCAATCAAAACATATACTGCTTCACAAGTCACTAATATATTTATTATTAGTCTTTTTCACAAACATGCTGTCACCTGTATTAGTCAGCTTCTCATCATGGTGACCTCATACCTGAGAAAAACAACTTAAAGGAGGAATGATTTATTTGCTTCATAGATTCAGTTTTGCCCTAGATACTAGACATACTGCTTCAGGATTTAACATTTTCCCTGTTGGTTTTTGGTCTTACTTTGGTTCAATCCCTTTCTTTTTCTCCATTTCTACCTCTGGAAAGGGAATATTTAACCTGTGATATTGTATCTTGGAGTATATAACTTGTTTTTTATCTTTCCTTAGACTGACAGCTAAAAATTTGCTTTGACTTTCAGAGGAGGCATTGGACTTGGACTTTTGAGCAATGCTGGAACCAGTAAGACTTTGCACATTTAGGTGGTGGTTCTGCAGAGCGGTTCCCTGGACCCCTTCCTTGTCCTCAGCCTCATGTCCCTCAGGTTCTTTCTATTGTCACTTTCTTCCTGTCCCATCCCAAAGCCCTTGGGAGGTTACTTTTAGTGACATTTTCATGAGTCAGTCA